GAAATTGACAGTCTGACTAACTTTGAAATCTCATGGCAATGCAGTGAAGCTTCCCCCCCCCCCTAAAGGAAGAACACTAAATTAAAAATGTAGAGCAAGACGGTAACCTCTTCCCCTCCGTCTCGAGTGGCCGCACGGGTGGCTTCGTCGCTCCTGAGACATAGAGCCACTGCTCCTCACACCAAGTGAGATATTTCATGGCAAAGTCGACCTTGCACTTCTCCCATGCAAGGGTGGGAGTGCCTAACAACACGAAAATTCTTGTTGGCCAAAACGTGGCGAAGAGAGACGTCTCCATACAGCCTTCTGTTCTTTTCTTGCAACTTATATTTTCTTACAAAAAAAGGCTCTCGAGGGAGGGTTCCCCGAACTCCCGCTTGACAATAGTCTTTTCGCGAGATTACATCTTCTTTGACCGCCCATTCAGCAGTTTTTTTTCGTCTGCATCCATTAAGGCAATTATTATGCAGATTATGTGATAATTCTTTGTTTCGAGGCATAACACTGAAACATACAGTGAAATCTTGAGTTCATGTCAAGAAAGAGAGAAAACTATCTCTGGGAGTCAGTGACGTCATAGTCTTTAAAGAGCCCATCAGACACTGGCGGGACTCTTCACGCGCACCAAAAACGCTGCAGAACATGATAGAAACAGGGCAGGCGGTGAGCTATTATTATTATTTTTTTAAATCCTCAAACGTCCAGAGATACCCGGCATATGTTTTCCGCGAGTATGGCACACACACACACACATATATATATGTGTGTGTGAACACTTGCTCTATGTGTACTTGTGTTGACATATATGTACACTTTACACGTTCACAAACATAGTTATAGTTACATATGTGTCTGTCTGTCTATATGGATTTCCATATCTGTATCGATACGCTTATGTATTTGATATGTACTTATACCTTCCTCCCAAAAATATAATTCGTATTCACATTAACATACATGTATACAGAAGTAAAGTCAAACTTACAAACTTTAGTAGTAACTCAGCCATCTCGAAGACCTGTGCGTCCCTTGGCTTGCGTCCTTTGGCTCGCGTCCCTTGGCTTACGTTCTTTGACTTGCGTCCCTTGGCTTACGTTCCTTGGCTTGCGTTTCTTACCTTGCGTCCCTTGGCTTGCGTCTCCTGCTAGCCTCGCAACACAAATAATCCGAAGAAACACAAACAGAGCTGCTCCTTCCTCCCCTTGAAAGCAGAGAATGATTTCAGTGCGAAGAGAGTGGTTCGTCGGCGTCAGCTGATTCGCTATCTCGTGATAAGAGCGAAGGCTCGCTCGAAGGGATCAGTTAATAAAGAAAAATAACCTCATTCTTCACTCACACAGAGACTCACTGCATAGACTGGTTAACGCGAAGGAAGATAAACTCATACGAGATTAACACAAACACAAATACACGTACTGTGTACACCAAGATAAAAGTGAAGTAAAGTCACAACATGAATTGAAAATGAGCTAATAAGTGATTTAGCTTTGCTCGAAACGTTACGTTCGTTTTTACTTCATATTGTGGCTGGGTTTAAACTTATTCACACGAATAAATTGTGCATATACAGACAAGTGGGATCGGAGCCACACAGGCAACACGGCCACCTCACTCAACAGACAATTTAATGCCACACTCACGTGCCCTGTAAAATCACCACATCAAATATATATATATATATATATATATATATATATATATATATATATATATATATATATATATATGTATGTATGTATGTATGTATGTATATATACATATATATATACATACAAC